CAAGTCTTTACCCAGTACCCATGGCTGTGGAATGGTCAAAGTCAAGCTTACTAAAAGCTGGAGATGAGACCCAGGACAAAAAAGATCACGGAAGCTCTCAGACAGAGGCAGGAGTGAAGGCAGAATAGTTAGAAGTTCAGGGAGAATAGTTCTGCAGAAGAGTTCCTTCCCTCTCCATTCTCATGACAACTGCCTGATGCTGGAGTCACCTAGGAGTTTGTGGCTGCCCTTTAGGCACTTCCAGGGCTGCCAGCAAATGACATTGGCTCTTACTGTTCTGGAAACATGTACATAGGAGTTGTTTTCCATGGAGTTCCATTATGGTAACTCCCATCTAGGACCAAGCTTTAACCCCACTAAGGCTTCTCTCATGTCATGCAAAAAAATGTTATCTCTGAACAACTGTGACCCAGTTAGTTATATCTGACATTATACCCACCAAGTATACTTCAGCCAACCTCTCAGCCTTTGGGGCAAGATGAAGGATTATCACAGTTATACCTGGATTTCATCACAGAAATACGTGGATTTCATCTTCATTGTTGGTACTATTTGCATCCCTTTCGCCTAAGGATATTAACCTACTGTGGTGATTTAGACGAATACCTAGTGGAATCTATGCTGGCAGCTCTTAAGATATAGTAAAAAAAAAAAAAAATACATCCTTTTGCTTTTGACAGTTTTTCCTTCCCCAGTTTTAATCCATAATTTTATGTAGCTAGAGTTTTTTTAATCCATCACAACAACACTGTTTTGTTTTCATGAACTCTTTTATTGGGCTCTTATGTATTTTCATCATTAAATGTGCTTGGGCTATAACTCAACTGTTTGTGCAGAAGCTGGCTTTTCATATCATCATTAATAATTCATAAGCTCCACAGAATTACTTCAGGCCTTTTAAACCAAGTATCTTGAATCTTAACATATCCAGTGTCATTTTAGCTTCCAGTTTAAGAAAAAAAGATGATTCTGTCATGGGCCTTGCTATCTCAGGAGACTTTGAATAAGAGCTTTATTACTGTTTCTTGTTTCTTTTAATGTTCAGGATGCTTCAAAAACCTAGAGCAGAGAAAATGTTGCATATTGGTAGTAACAAAATCATGCCAATTAAGTGACCTTACAGACTGATAAGTACCGTAGGGGTCAGAGAAGGAAACTTTCCATTATACCTCATCACAGAAACCTCCAGAAGACACCTGGGGAGACCCCTGGATCAGTGATTAAGCCACGTGCATGTTTCTCCCCAACCTGTTAGGAAACCACAGTGAAATCCCTGGTCTCTTGCTGGGTCCACACCTACCAAATCTGCCTGGCTGCCCTGGGTGTGAAAACATGTGCTGGTACTTTTGTCATCTTGACATTTACTCCCCAAAGAAGCCACACTTAGAAATTTGAGGAGTGAACTGGGAATAATGAAAACTTAGTATATTTTTCAGAGCTCTAACTGAATTGGGTAATTTGGGTTGGATTTCTTTCTTGCCCTTTTTTCTTCATTCTTCCTCTTTGTTGCTGTCTCTTTTAGGTTGAAAAGAGACTTGGATTTTTTTAAAAAATTTTTTTTGTGTGGAGGGCAGTGCTTTTCTCTGGGCTATTTCTTTCTTCTCAATATCAATTTTGTCTTAAGTCCCACTGGGATCAGTACTCATAAAATAAAGCAGCTTGTGTGATCCGCTTCGTTATAATCAAGTTGAATCTGTCTTCTTGCAGCAGGATAGTGGGGTGTTGTGAAGCACTGGTACGTCTCAGAGAAATGAGGCCATTTCTTTTCAAATTCATGTTTTTGTAAGATGAGGTGTTACTGAAAGATAAAATAATTTTTCAGCCCCTCTGATGTGTGTATAGAACTGCTGCACAGAATCTTTATGGATTTTGAGGAGCAAGAGGACTTTGCTCATCTGAGACTAGAATTTTTTAATTAACTGAAAATCATTCTCTATATTTGAGTGCAGCTGATTCCATGGGAAATGTATTAATGATGAGCCTGCTGCATTTCACAATTGTATGGTGCTTGTATTTGTAATGGTGATATGGCAGCTACTTGCTGCTTTTTTAAACTGAGTAATCTTTAATCAAGGCAATTCTCTTGCCTGTGGTTTTGTTTTTTTAACCTCAAATTCTAATTCAGTAACTGAGGGGTGGGGCCCAAGAGTCTTCTTATTTTATTTTTTTTTCAAGATTCTGCATTTCTAACAAGCTGCTGGTGATACTGATGCTGTTGGTCCACAAGCCACACTTTTTTTTTTTTAATTGGATAACTGTTTTTTCTGGGACCCATTAGCTCCAAGTCAAGTCATTGTCCTTCAATCTAGTTGTGGAGGGCGCAGCTCAGTTCCAAGTCCAGTCACCATTTTCAGTCTAGTTGCAGAGTGGGGGGGGGGTGCAGCTTACTGGTCCATGTGGGAATCGAACCGGCAAGCTTATTACTCAGCTCTTACCAACTGAGCCACCCGCCCACCCCAGGCCACCCTTTGAGAAGCAAGATTTTAGAACATCTTAATGTAAAAATTCCAAATTTAATAATTCTAGAGTTGGAGGGTGAGGGTAGAATGAAACATGTTGGCACTTCTGAGGACAGGTCAGTGATTAAATTTGTACCTTCATAAAGGCAGACCCGATGGTTTGTGCCCTGGTGGATGCAGCCTTTGTACAAATTTGCTTCTTTTGTGCCTCTCTCCTACTCTTTTAGAAGCAAACTAATGAACCACTTGTATTTGAATTCTTTAAGAATGAAGATTATATTTTACTGTGTTCCAGTCTTCATATTCCTAGAGCCTAGCAAATTCCCAGGCACCTAATAGATGGCCAATTATTGAGTTGAGTTGAATCAAACTGAACTGATTGAATTTCATTAGAACTATATAGGATTATCCTGATTTTGTACCTTTAAAACCGCTTGTTTCCTCTTTAAAAGATTGATACTGTTTTTCTGTAGAAATGTAAAATTCTGTCAATAATTTATAACTGACCTATATCCAGAGATATATATTTTTTCAATTATATCCTCTTAAAATGCAACATGAAAAAATAAATATGAAGACAAATTAAAGGTAATGAAGATTCAAGAATCCCAAAGCCCTTTTATTCTTAGGAATACAAAACAAAATTCTATTTCCAATAAAAGGACTTTGGTGATCATTTCTTATTGAAGAATTTTATTTTAGGGTTAAGAAAGGAGGCAGTCTCAGACTATTTTGGCAGATTCAAACCTGTTCTCATTTCTAAAAGAGCACAGATTATTACTGAATCTTCAGTAAATTAATGCAAATCCAAAATATTACAGTTAGTGTGTTTGCGTCCTCAAAGGATTTCCATAAGTCATTGTACTAATCTCACTATACATGAACAAACTTGAATACTATTTTTTCATTATTTCCTTTCACTCTTTGCTTTTGCTTTTATTTTTTAAGTTTTATTGAGGTATTAGTCACAAACCATGGAGTTTGCTCATTAAAAATCTACAATTTATTTTAGTATATTCACAGAATTGTATATCTATCACCACAATCGATTTTAGAACATTTACATTATTCCGAAAAGAAACCCTGCACCCCTTCACCATCGCATCTGTCTCTGTAGATTTGCCTGTTCTGGACATTTCATATAAATGGAATCATAAAATGTGTGGTCTCTTGTGACTGAGTTCTTTCACTTTGCCTAATGTTTCAGGGTTTATCCATGTTGTATTGGGTTGTCGGAAAAGTCATGACACATTTTTGCAACGAAAACCATAGAAAAAATATGTTATGACTTTTCCAACAACCCAACAGCATGTATAAGTATTTCATTCCTTCTATGGCTGAATAATATTTCATTTCATTGATTAACATTTAGGTTGTTTCTACTCTTAAGCTATTATTAATAATGCTGCTATAAACATTCACATATAAGTTTTTGTGTGAAAATGGTTTTATTTCTCTTGTATACATACCCAGGAATGGAATTGCTGAGTCATGCCGAGTCATATGTCGAGTCATATGTTAACTCTGTGTTTAATCTTTTGATGAACTGTCAAACTCTTTTCCAAATTGGCTGCACCATTTTACATTCCCTTCAGCAGGGTAGAAGGGTTCCAGTTTCTCCACATCCTCCCCAGTACTTGTTATTTTTTATTATAGCCATCCTAATGAATGTCAAGTGGTATCTCATTGTGGGGTTTTTGTTTTGTTTTGTTTTGTTTTTAACTTTATTGGGGAACAGTGGTCTTTTCCAGGACCCATCAGCTCCAAGTCAAGTAGTTGTTTTCAATCTAGTTGTGGAGGGTGCTGCTCAGCTCCAAGTCCAGTCACCGTTTTCAATCTAGTTGTGGGGGGCGCAGTCCACCATCCCATGCGGGAATCGAACCAGCATGTGCTCTAACCAACTGAGCCATCTGGGTGCCTATCACCAGCCTAGTGGCAGCTCAAGTCCTTGTCTTCAATCTAGTTGCAGAAGGAACAGTTCACTGACCCATGTAGGAATCGAACCGACAACCTTGTTATTCGGAGCATGCACTCTAACTAACTGAGCCACCCGGCCACTCCTTATTGTGGTTTTGATCGGCATTTCTCTGAAGACTAATGCTGAGCATAATTTCATATGCTTGTGACCATTTGTATATCTTTTTTTTTTTTTTTTGAGAAATGTCTATTCAGAATCAGTTTATTTTTAATTGGACTATTTGTCTTTTTATTATTGAGTTGTAAGACTTCTTTATATAATCTAGATACAAATTGCTTATAAGATACATGATTTGCAAATATAATTTTCCCATTCTGTGGATTATCTTTATAGTGCCCTTTGAAGCACAAAAGTCTTCAAGTTTGATGAAATCCAATTTATTTATTTTTTCTTTTCTTGCTTTTGCTTTTTATGCCATATCCAAGAAACCAATGCCTCATGCAAGGTCATGAAGGTTTACTCCTATGTTTCCTTCTAAGAATTTTATAGTTGTAGCTGTCACATTTAGGTCTTTGATTCTTTTTTAATTAATTTTTGTATATGGTGTTCTTTTCGTTTTTAAGTGTTGTGATCTTGGCTACCATGCAAGTCTGAACAGAGCCCTGAGAACATATCTCTCTGCGGAGTATAACCTTGAAACCTCCAGACATGAAGGCTTAGACATCATTGAGAATGCAGTTGACAATTTGGAGCCCAGGAGTGATAAGCAGAGATTCATGGAGATGTACCCTGTTGCCTTCTGTCCACCAATGAAGTTTGAATTTCAGTCTCACATGGGTGATGAGGTCAGTAGTTATTTTAAACTAATGAATTGTCTCTTCACTTACATTACTGTTCACCTGCTATTGTAAGAATTCCCAGTTGTCTTCTCTTTCCCTCCTTTGCATGGGATCTTAGCATAGTATCTTGCTAAGATCAGTCACTGCCACCACTTTTTAAAGCAAGGATCAAACACTCAAATGTCTACACAGGCCAAACAAACTTAGGTTCAAACTCAGCTGGATGTAAGCACTAAACTGTCCTAAGGTAGAAAATTCTTCCTCCACCTCAAGACATTCAAGTTTAAATTCAAAACAAAACATTTTGCTGGCCTAATGGAATCTATCTGAAGACTTCTTGAATCCTGATTTAAAGATTCCCATAAAAAAGAAAAATAATTGTAAATGGGAGAGAGGGGGGAAAAAAAACCCCAAACATTTAAGGTTCATTGACTCCAAATGGTAAAAGGAACATTAGAAATGACATATCTTTGTATGAATTTACCTTTCTATCCTGTTTTACCAAGGGAAATAAATCCATTTAAACCATTTATGAGTTACAGTGATACATTTTGTTGTCTGCGAACACGCGAAAACATGAAGGGCCAATTAAATGGAACACACTGTATAGCACTTGGTGCCCAGTTGTGCAAAACAATACTCACAGGTTAAAAATTAAATTTTAGCTTATTGTGGTGATGGTATGTTTTAAAAAATAGATGTAATTATGGCAGATTTCTTTAATGCCATAATTTTTTCTGAAACACCTAATGGTCCAACTTATAAGGTATATATGTGTGCACCTGCTGTATTTCTAACCTAATTTTATTTGTGCTTGATTTGATAGAGTGAATTATTTGATTAGAAATGGTTAGCATTTTTTATACCAATAGCATGTGAATTTGATAGGCACGTGGCTCATGCCACCCAGAATTACGTTTCTCCAAAACCAAGTGGTTGCTGTTTTAATTTTTAAGTTATGTATATGTTAGACATAGAATAATAAAATATCACAGATAAGTGACTTTGATTGCATTAATAGTTTTTACCTTTTTGTTTCTTACTATTATTATTTTAATAAAGTGAGTCTGTTGCCCTTTTTTATGACCAGTGCTGCCAGGGAGCAATAATAATCTTTATGATGTTTTGGAGACTCCATAAAAGAAAACCCCCATCTACCGAGAACATATCTATGACAAGGAAGAGGAGAAGAAATTATTCCTTTCTGGAAGAATTTTAATATTATTAAAAGGTTCCAATTTTGACCTTATCCATAATTGGGACCATGGCCAAAATATCTTTCGACCAAAGCTTAAGAACTTGGCCTCTTCAAGTTCATGGTGAATCACCATGGTGGTTTGGCTGATATTGGTAAGACAGGCCAATAGTTATTCACGTTTTTTTTTGAGGTTTTACTCTGTGCCAGGCCATGTTCTGAGTGCTTACTGTCCATTATTTCATTTCATCTCTACACTAACCTTATGGCATAGGAACGCTTATTACCCTCATTTTACCCAAAAGGAAACTGAGGTTTAGTAACGTGCCCCAGTCACCCGGCTGGCTGTAACCAGTAGGTTCTGTTGCCTGCCCTAGTTTTGTCTGCCTGGTCCATTTGGATCATCCTGCATACTCTGTCCTCTGCCTGATAGTCATTAAGAATTCCACGAGTGCGACGTCAGCATCAGAGTCCTGTCTACAGCCACTGCCCCATTCTTAGAATGATGCTTCCTGCAGCTGCTCTCTTCCCAGTCATATCCGGGCCAAGCAGCTGCATTCTGCTCTTGCCCACTGACGTCACCGGTCCATATTTAAAACTGAAGTTTGGAGGCAGCTGTTAAAAGGAAATATGTAGTTGGAATCTTGAGGCGCTCAGCCTGACTCCTGTAGCATTTCAATAGGAGGACTGTGCCTCGGGAGGCTGGCTCAGTGGCGCCCTGCTGTAACTGCTGCTTCTGATTCCCCATCAGGTGTGTCAGGTCAGCGCTCAGCAGCCGGTCCAGGCGGAGCTGATGCTCAGGTACCAGCAGCTACAGTCCCGACTGGCCACGCTCAAAATCGAGAATGAGGAGGTGAGCATGCTTTCTGCCCCGTGAGTAACCTGAATTCTGATGTCAACTGGGAGACGTTGTCACATGACAAATCCATATTTAACCATTCTAAATGCAATCTCTTTATCAAGCATTTTTAGCTAAACTAGGAGTCCTAAAATCCTCTTTGTAGAGGATAAATGCAGATTCTGAACTCTACCATAGGTGAATATTTTACCAGGGATTCACTGCATACACGTGGAAACACACCTTTTATTCTTAAATTTGTAATTCACACTAAAAATAATTCCCATAGATTATTAAATTCAACATATGTGTCCGAGAATATACAATAACGTATGGAATATAACTTTTAACTAGCACGTTCATTTAATCTTAACTTTTGAAATTAGTACTTTTGTGTGCTTTTTTTGTATTCTATAGATTTTTGGGACTGAACATGGCATTACTGATATAATTAGTAAAAAAACAAATCATGTTTTAAAATAATACTTGAATGAGGATAGAAAACTGTTTATTTGCTGACGTTAGTGGATTTAAATGGCTAGAACATGAAATGTGAATTATAAATATATGTTGAGCCAGAAGGCAGTCATGCAATTCAGCTGCCTGTTTTTGAAATTAATTTAATTGGATCCATGTTCTCCTTAAATAAAAATATGAACCACAAATGTTTCTTGTATTAGTCATGGCTCTCGGTTATAATTTACAGGAACCCAAATCAAACTTACTCAAGTTGGAAAGTTTACTTATTGATCAAGTTTGCAGTAACCTCAGTCATGATTAGATCTGTGTTCAGATGGTATTATCAGTAATCTCTCTTCCCTTTCATCACTTTGAAGTGGTCTCTTCATGTGTGTTGGTAGGATTCTCCCCCACCCCAATATTGGGAGAACCCAGACTACATGGTTCCTATGGCTTGCCATCTCACCCCATTGCAGCATCCTTATCTCTGAAGTAGGATCCTTCATCAACCTGACTTAAGTCATGCATACTTCTAGACCAACCGTTACATCCAAGAAATGAGATTCTCTCATTGGTCCGCCAAGGTATTGTACCCGGTCATAGAGCCCTTTGATTGACAGCCCCAACAGAAGTATATATTTCTAAAGACAATTCCCAAAAGTAAGGAATGTGGGATAGAAAAAAACAAACAAACCAGTAATTGACTTGGATAGAATAAATTATGCAAATTCACTTTAGCACTCTTATTTCAATCCCACTGGGACGCTTTGAGCTATGTGATTGTGCGTTTGTTTGTATTAAGAAAGAACGATATGTTTCTAGACCAGCATAGTTTATTCAAAACCCATTGCAACTTTCTGGCTTCCATTCTTTTTAGAAGAACCAAACCACCCCTTTTTCAAACATGTGCATGTAAGAAGATGCAATCAATGTGATTAAAACTTCAGTCTCTGTGTTAAGTCCCACAAATGTGGCTTTCCAAAGGAAAGCTGTTGCTCTCCTTGAGATATTTTAGAGCTTAGGCGTAAGGGTTTTGTTGAGGCATTTCAAAACATTCATCTAACTCAGTTTACAGGATCTTCTTAGATCTGTGGTTTGTATGTCTAGTGACTTCCAGTTTTGTGTTTTTTTTTCATATGTGTCCTCCAGCTGTTTTATTTGGAAACATTGTCTAAACTCTAGGAAAATTGTTATGCACAAGGTCATAACTGGCAACCCACAGACCTGTTTCATTTGGCTCCTACAGTTTTGGCCAGTTAAAAACACGGAGGACTGGCGACTCTGGCCCTGCATTGTTCAACGCCCAATTTTCCTACATTGTAGTAGTCAGTTTTGTTACCTGTCTGGTCTCCACAAGCCTCTGAGTTTATAACTTTAATGTATGTCCCTTTGGGCATAATTTGGAGGGACGTAGTGTCCCTGTAAACTGATAGAGGCAGGCAACATTTTCTGAAGGTAAATTTTTTTTTTTTAACTGTAGAAACAGATAAATTGGATTGTCCTGATATTTCCTGTGAGCATGACTAGTGGTTTATAATTTGTTGGCTATCAGACAAATTCACTATAGTGGAATGGAATTCCCAGTGAGAGTAAGATTTGAGTTGGATTTTTGACAATCAGTAGAATTCCAGATATAGAAGAAGGAATAAATGTTTCAGTGTATTTTAAGGTACCCCCAGAGCAGTGTGGTTATCACCCAGGTTTTCCTTGGGGATGAGCCCAATGTGAAGCTGAAGTCAAGAGATGAGAGAGGCCTTGAGAGCCAACCTAAGGAGCTTTGATACTGTGGGTCAGTTAATTTCCATACAATAAATATTTGTTGAGCGACTTCTACATTCCACATATTTTGCCAGGTCCTGAGAGTACAGAGATGAATTAGTCACAGTTAGCATCTGTCTAGCGTGAGAGCCAGATTAGAACAAGTCATTTATATAATGTGAAAAATAAGAGACGAAACTTGGGAACAACATAGCCCTCATTGCTGATTTGGAATCCTGTGTAGCACTTTGCTCTGCCAGAGATAAAGAATTGGCCTCTCATCATCCACTGATAGGACAGAAAATTGACACATTGGTATCAAATCAAAACATACAAATAAAGAAATGTGTAATTCTATATCATTCTCTGCCCCCGAACAAACATATGTACACATAAAGTCCAAATTTTACGAGAAAGAGTCCAATTAACGAAATAATTATGACTGCCCAGAAAAAAAGATCAAAGTTGAGAGGATTTCTGCCAAGTTTTCCAAAGCATGGACAATGCAGCTAAGTAGAACCAGGAGCCTTTTCGCCAAATCTTAAACAACTATGAGTAATGGGCACCATTTAAAACTGTAGGGCGCTATTTTAGAAGGGCGTTTCCATGCTAAGAGCCCACAGACCATTTCTAGTCATGATTAATTTTGTTTGCTCTACAGTGCTTGATTTTTAAAAATTAGTTGCTGTCATCTAACAATTGGAAGTTTTGAATAAAAATACCAATTTTCAGCTTCTAAGAAATTAGGAAGCTTTATTATACGAGTCCTACATTTCTGCAGGATGATAACCTGCGTGAGCTGAGCAATAGATGCTTCCCTTAAACACACAGCATGTGCTTCATGTTTGTCGGACTCCCCGCTCGGCCCACTTGCCTTATTTTTCATGACTTGGTTGGCCCTTGAAGATACTTGAGCTTGCATCACCTGCCTGCAAGAAAAGAGAGCAGTAAGCATTTGTGAAATGGCCTCAGTATACTCATAAGCAGGAAAAGTTGAAAGAAAAGGTTTGAGAAGGACTTGGTTAAATTTGTGGTTGTTGCAGATTCATAATGGATTGTGACAGTCATGGTCTCTTCACAACTTTACATTTACCTGTTGAACCTTTTAAAACGAGCTTTCAGTTTGATTATAGTGCAGGCTTGCCTCACTCTTATGATTCCAACTTCTAGTCAGCCAGGCAACAAAGATTTATTAATGTCTACTGTGTGTTGTACGCATAGAATTAGAGCAGGGGCTGCTGCCCACACAACTTTATTCCCAGTTTTTTGTTTTCCTTTTCTTACTTAAAAGTATAACTTTTTATTTCAAACATTAATAAACATTACTTTAAAAGACAACATGTTAAAAGCAACCTAAATCTAAATGGTCATTTATACCTTTCTCACTATAAACGTTTTCCAAAGTCTTTCCAATCTAATGTTACACAGTCTTGTCCACTTTCTTAAAGTTTACTTTTAACCATTGTCATAGGGATTTCAATTTAGGTGTCATTCCTGTTGCTCCTTTATTTCAAAGCTAGCCCCTGGAGTAATTAATTCCCCATAGACTGAATTCCTCTTCTTTTTTTTTTTTTTAAGGTTTTTTTATTGGGGAATTGGGGGAAGGGAACAGACAAGTTGCTGTCCTTTTGTTCTTCAGTCTAGTTGTGGAGGATGTCGCTTCTCTGGCCCATGTTGGTATTATCATTGTGCTCTTCACGGTGAGGCAATCAGTCGCCAGCCATTGGACGGCAGCTCATGCCAGCTGCCGGCCACTCATGCTGGCTGCCAGCCACTCACGGTAGCTCATGGCAGCTCATGGCAGCCCACTGCAGCCTACGCCATGGACTCACGGCAGCCCAGCTCCAGGTTGAGCTGTTGTTCACCATCTTAGCTATAGAGGGCGCAGCATCACTGGCCCTCATGTGAGATCTGAACCGCGGCCCTGCTGCTCAGAGCCAGCACTCCCAAGCCAACTCTTAACCATTGAGCCACATGGCCGGCTCTGAATTCCTCTTTTCTTAAAGTTCCTCTTTTCTCCCTTCATCTATACATAGCCAAAGAAAAGGAAAATGAATTGCATAACTAGAGCAATTAATTATGCCTTTCATATTTTGAGCACAGTCTTAGTTTTAAGTAGTTTGCCCCATTTTCAGACCATTTGTCCCAATATTTGGTCCAGAAAATAGTTTTAATAAGCAGGTCACGTCTGTCCTATGTCTAAATTCTCACATATAAAAAGTAACAACGAGTCTCTTAAATTGTAGTAGATTTTGCCCCCTGAAAGTAATAGAAAAGAGAGAAGCCCATGACTCTTCGATTGATTTGCAGCAATGTTAAATTAACTGATAGCTCCATATAAAATTTCCTGTCACTACTTAAAATCTTCTACCAAGCTTACTAAGGGAGTATTTCACAAACTTGCAAAAATATATTCCTTACACAGGATATTTTTAACAATAATGAACAAGGTTTTAGGCAAACATTTGAGACAGTTTTCATGGTGTAGGTAATTAAGGGAAGTAAGAGGTATTGTGGTTATAACTCCTACTGAGGGTAGAAAAATCACATTTCTGCACCCCCACCCCACCCCGATTTCCCATAGTACCAGTGACTACAGCAAAATCCCAGGTCATATAGATCAGTGATCAAACCCTCATGGGCAATTGTCAGATTCTTTTAAGTCTTAGTATAAGATATGGAGCTTGATAACCACTGAATCATAATTGCTGTTTCTGATCATCTCTGTGGTTTTAGCTTCATATTTACTTATTTAAGTATTTTTTACTTGCCTGCAACCTTCTACTGATGAGGTTAGG